CATGGTTCTCGGGTCTACTGAAGGCCTAACTACATGACTAACAGCAAAGTATAGACGCTTCCGTTTCCCAGCATACCCTGTACTTACCACCATGACTTGTACTTTTATTTATTGACAATTATTTATTGATTGGAATGAACTAAGTTGAAAAGATACAGTATTGATGGAGGAAAATACTTCATTATAGACATTTGTCACCTGGCATCCCTGGGGCTACCTTTTAGGTGACTGGCTGACTGGTGTCTTTTTATAGGAATGATAATTCAATTCTAGGAAGCCATGAGAGCATAGTTTTTCTTCTTCCCACCTGAGCACATCTGCAGACAAAGTTTGTGCCTCAGTTGTCCTGACCCGATCCAGGTGCACTGTGTCCCAGTTATCCTGAGTTGAACCAGGTGCAGTGTGCCCCAGCTGTTCTGATCTGAGCCAGGTGCAGTGTGCACCAGCTGTCCTGAGCTGAGCCAGGTGCTGTGCACCCCAGCTGTTCTGACCCAAGCCAGGTGTAGTCTCCTACAAAGCAAACACTGTTCTCTTGTTTCTCACCCTCCCAGAAACACTCTGCCCTGCTTCTTCACAAGCCAGTCCCCCATCCTATATGTGCATGTGTCCTTTTAGATACTCAGAAATGGTTTTTGTTGCTTGCAACCAAGAGACCTAAAGCTTTTATATACTATAAAAACTATAGAAAATCATTGGTAGCTTCTAGGAGGCATTTCATGGGTAAAAATCATGTGACCATGTGACTAGAGAGTCTATTTAGCAGAAAAGGCAGAGTAGTTGAATTTAAGCATCAACGTTCATTTTTTAAGTCATGTGACAAATTTTGGGAAACATTATTAATGATAATAAATAGTTTTATTATCTGGTACACAAGTTCAGCTACATATGTGCTACCCTACTTAGCTAGAGTTGTAATTTGGCCATCAAAATGATTTCAGCTCAGACAGAAATTTAAATGAGCCCTGGATTCTCTTAAAAGTATGATGGAATTAAGCATTAAACATTCAATTTTTGTAATTTAAAAGTTATGCCCTTTGTAAATTTTACTAAAACTAGATCAATGTCCTAAGAAAGTTCTGTTGCTTTTAATATGAGTAAAACTTTATGAACGACTCTTTGGTTAGAGACAACCAGATAAAATTGTACTATAAGATTTGTTCTTTTAATCATCTTGTAACTATGAAACTACTGTGAGTCATTTCAATTTTAACATAATCTTTACATTGCTATGAGATAATATTATCTCAGAAATCAGAAACCATATATATGCTACCATACCCTTTAAGTCATCTGCTTCTCTTTTTTTAATTTTGGCTTGGGATAAGGAAAAGAAACATCAGTAAAATTAGACCTTCTGAGCTTAAGAATTCTGACAGTATCTCCTAAATAATACTTAATTTTAAAATTATTTATGACCTTAATTCATGTCCAGACTTAACCTGCAACCTCGTTGTTACCTTTCTAAATACTGGCCAGTTTTATACCTTGTGTTTCTATGTAAAAGGGTTTGGTCATTTGAACTTTCACCCAGGTAGGCTAAGAAAATTGCTTGTACATTTCTTAAAAATGTACCAACAGTGCAGACTATTTTAAGACCTAACATATGAGGATGAATAATTTTCACATCCTTTTTGCTTTGCTGAGAGAGCAGCCACCACGGCTTGTCAAGCAGTTGGTGTCACAGCTCAACCTCACTCACGTGCTGCCTGGGCAAATGATTCAGGTTTTGTGGAGGACTGACTGCTTCCTGATGAACCACAGTGCCTAGGCGATGAGTCAGCTGTGTAAGAGCCAGGAGTCTTTGACACAGTCTTATGTTTGGTCTTATCACCCAAGGTTCAAAACGTTTAGTTCCTCCACTTCAGTGGCAAGAATCAAGATGTTAGAAGTCTCAGTCCAGGCCTAGGTTATTAAAATGTTCATTTTTGGAAGTTATGGATTCTGAAATTATTGCACACCTCCAAAATACTAAATAAATGGAATGGAAGAGTGGAGAATTCCTCAAGAAAATAACAGATGAGTAAAATTAGTGATATCTTAACGCTAAATGCCAACTTCGTGGTTCAATACTCATCTCACTGTGATGAAGAAACTAAGCAGAAGACAGATGTCAGATGGAGGGAGGAGAGCATAAGCATGGTAATACATGAAAGTCGTTTGTGAATTTCCATGCTGCTTGTCACTGAGTAACAGTTCTAACCATTTGATAGATGTGAATTCTATTACGGATGCTTCATCAAATTCCTTCATCCCTTTCCGTCATCCTTTTCAGGCATAGAAGTAGAGCATCTTTATCTTCATTTGCTTCAGGAAAGCTGAAAGTTACATGGCATCAGACTGGTACTCATGGTGCTCTGAGTGTGTGTGTGTGTGTGTGTGTGTGTGTGTGTGTGTGTGTGTGTGCGCGCGCGCGCGCCCTCGCGTACGTGCGCGCGCGCACACCTGTGTGTTTGGCTAGAGGAATTCTGCAGTCACATCCTGAGCCAACTGCCCCAGCCAGGCACAACACAGCCATCAGATAACAAGTGATGGAGTCATATCACACACTAATGCTAAGGTAATTCTCTTAGTGTTTTGAAGACTGAGAACCCGAGCCACGCACAGGAACACATTAGAAGATGTTATTCAGCTTATGCCTCTCATTGCCCTCTCAGAATAGAAATGCGGCATCACGGTTTAGTTTCCCGAGGTCACAAAGATAAGAAAATATCTACTTTGATTTCAAACAGAATCATTTATAGATAAAAGAAGTCCCCTCCACAAAATTAAACTGCTTTTCAAAAAGCCTCTCACTACAGTTAGTAATAATTTATGCTTGGTGAACAGGAAAATATGCTGAATTTATTCATTTTACTGTGTGTGTGGCACCTATCAAAAGGGCAAACTGATAAAGAAAAAAATGAGGGTGGGTAACTTACTGGCATTTGCAAATCTAATATAAAAGGTTTTTATAATTCTTCCTTGTTTCAGGCAAAGTAGAAAATTAATTTTGAAAGTGGCAAAACAGAAAATGCCTGTTACTTTCAAAGCCATAGTCGCTGACATTTTACCACATAGATAATTCCAAGGACTGGTTTTTCCTTTGTCCTCTGAGATAAATGTTGCTCTGTTTTTGGCCCCTAATCAAAAAATGATTCACAGTAGACAATCTCTGGTGATGAAAGCAGAGTCTGCAGGGTTTCACCCAGTCACATCTCATAAACACTGAGAGCTGAAGAGACAGGATCTCTTTTTCTCTCTTAGCCAACCAAGATATGTGAGTTTCCACAGTTATTATTTCTGGGTGAGACTTTATTTTCTCATCCAGTTTCAGGATACACTGTAAGGCAAGATGCTCATTACCTGGGTCCCTCCCGGAGAGTTGCTGAAACTCCTTACATTTAAATAACCGTGCAGAGAACATCTGTAGTTTTTCTGCTTTGTGTGGAATACAGGACATTAGGAGCAGTATGAGGTTTGGGAAATTGACTGGAATTAAAGCTCAGAAAAATATGGCTTAACTCATGAGACACACTTTTATCTTTCTGCCGTATCAGATAATGAGTTCTTCATCATAAATTAAAGGTATTACATGAAGATTTGGGAATTTTAAGGAAAAAAAACAGTTTGAAGCATAGACTTGGCAATTTAACTATATTTAAGCACATTATAAAAGTATGGTTGAAAACCCTCAAATAATATACCTTGGTGACATGGCTAATAGCTCATTTTTCTTAAAGGAATTTAACCATAAAATTACTAGGTTTTGATACTATGATGATAACATAGTTCAGCAGACTTAACCTGATGAACAATCATAAATCTTTTACTCCTATCTGATAAAAAAATTACTAGGTTTTGAAGGCAAAGCTTTTTTTGAGTCTATTTTCTTTCCTACATTTAAGTTTGAAAGCGTCAAAGCAATGCTGCCCACTAAGAATTCTTGTTGGTGGTTAAGCTAATCTTCAAATATAGAAATAAGTACATTGAGGCAAACATCTACGTCACCAATTGTCAGAAGCCAGGGAAAGCCCACAGTGGAAGTTTTTCTTAATCTAACAGACAGAGAAGAAGGCTGCACCCTTTCTTCATGTGTCCACGGGCCTGAGAATTCTTTGACATTTCCTCTCTTTACCACAATGTAGCCTTCATGGGGACCACTCAACCTGTGAGATAAAAAAATACAAAACACCACAATGAAATATTTCCAGCCATGAAAGAAAGGGAAGTGTATGTTGCTTGCAGGAAAATAGACACGAGTAGTGGTAGTTGTATCAAACAAATGAAGGCAGTCCTAGAAAGACAAACACTGTATCATACGTTTGTTTACTCTTGTTTGTGGCTCCTAGATTTCATGGAATCACATTGAATCATATATATATATATTTGTGTGTATGTATGTATGCATGTATATATGTATGCATGTGTGTATATCTGTATATATGTATGCATGTGTGTATATCTGTATGTATATATGTGTTACGTATGTGTGTGTATGTATATATGTATGTGTGCATATATGTGTGCATGTATGTATGTATGCATGTATAAATGTATGTATGTATGTATGTATGTATGTATGTATTAAATGAAAGCAGAAGTGAAATTTCCTAGGGAGACAGAGGGGTTTATGGTAGCAGAGAGGTGAGAAAACAGAAAGTAGGGGTAACAACAGAAAAGGGGGCATCTACTTAACTTATATGCACCAGTAAGAAAATTAAAATAAGCA